GTTCGTAGGCCTTAATTTTATGCCACATGCGGGCAATCATTATTTTACTTCTTAGCTGTTCTTATTCCTTGGGAATTTGAAGTCTTTAATTGCTTAAAAAAGATACTCAATTAGGTAGTTTACGCTTAAGGCGATAAGATAATTGGAATTGAAAAAAAATAGCCAATAAAAATGTTACTCTTTAGAAGACTTTGGAAAAATTTAGTTTAATATTTGGTGAAATTTTATTTTTCAAATGTTTTATACTTTTTTAATACAATTTTGCAAATTGCAATTGCAAATTGAAATATATATAATAAATGCACAGCTAGCGCAGCTTATTCTAGATCTAGGCCTGAACCATACTATACCATATACTATATAATATAATTGTAATGGTAAAGACTTACCGGAGTAGGGGACACATGGTTATAATTTTTCATCGTTGCTGAATTCCTTCCAGGGTTGAGTTGTATTCTTGGTGACTTTAATCAGCCTAAGTATCTTCAAGGTGAGCTTCTTCCTGTTTATCCAGTTATATTCCATTGGTCAGGTCGTAGGGCAATCACTATCACTGCCACTATTACCATCGATGTTAACACTGGGAAGGCCATGCACAGACTGAGGCCAGCGAGAGGGGAGTGCCTCTATTTATAGTCCCGAGCGAAGAGAACAACAGAGAAAGTGAGAGTGAGAGCCCCAGAGAGTTAGAGATACCATTAGAGCAAGGTAGGGAGAGCTAGGGAGAAAGAGTTAGCTCGAGAGATAAACAGAGAGCTAGAGAGCTAGAGAATAAGAGATCTGTAGAGCTGTGCTGGGAGAGGTAAACATACATTTAACGATCGTATCTATGTTAATCGTCATATTTTAATAAAAGGAAATTCGTCTGACTTAAATTAAAATACCCTGCAAGGGTTTAAAAATATTAATTAAATGGGAAAAAGAATCATGCGTTATTCAAAATTATAGGACTTCGTTTAAAGCTGCACTATAATGTATTTACACCCAAAAGGAATCAATAAACTCTGAGTGACATTGAACCCTGGACATTGTTGACTGCAATCGATGGGCTCTCCCAATGCCCGGGGAATGCCTGACCTGTTCCTGGCGTATATTAATTATTCTGCCTGCCGGTCATCGCTCGTGGCTGGCCATAAATTAATGACAAATTTGTGGCCCAAGAGGAGTTCGGTGTCCCCGAAAATTGCTGCAATTATTTGCACTATTTACTTGCTTAAACAGAGGCAGACGGAAAACGGGTGGCAATTATGAAAATTAACATGTTTTGTGCATAATTGCACACAAGAGCCGCAAATTGCGGGCACCCCCTTAGAAAAAAAATAAAGGTCTTTATATATTCATCACACTGTCATCTTCCAGGCCCAAGAAAGTGAGCGAAATCCTGTGTTCCCGTGTCCTGTGTGGGTCTTGACTTAATCTGCTTGACTTTATTTGCTTTATTTCTTGTGCACGTCCAGGTTGGTGAATTAAATTTGAATTTTCCTCGACTGCCTGCGGGGCAAGAGCTCGACATGGAAGCAGCAAGGAAAATCCAAAGCAACCAACCGGAATTTCCCAGACTTTTCGCCTTTGTTTCTTTTGCCAACCATGTTCCCTATGGTTTTGGTTACATTTTATTTAACCTTTAATCCTGCCAACACTGGGGGAAAATATTTGCCAACAAGTCGAACGGAAAATCTTTAAAAATGTGCTTAAGAAAATATAGATTTAAAAGTATTTTTATTTAGTCAAAGATAATTAAATTTCAAAAGGAATTTTAGTGACTTTTCAGCCCAAGTTATGGCCCCCATTTCTTGGGCCATTTGGTAGCCATCTTCAATCTGGTAACTGCCGGGCCATGTCAATGATTTGCTCGACAGGAATCCGACATTTATGCTGAGCCATCTATGCAAATCTCCGTCTGCGGCATGGTAGTAGAAGGACACGAATCCCATTTGCCATTTGCCATTGTCATCATGGCGGATGGCAAATGGAATTTGCCTGTTAACTCTTCCGTCTGGCCCAACCTTTATTGTTGTTGCCCAACACGATATTCTTTATTTTTTTTACGATTTTTACGCAGTTGTCAACCCACCGAATGCGACACCTTTCCGGCCAGCTTTTCAGGTGCGAAAAATCAAGATAAAAGGATACCAATTCAGGCACCCTACTGTGCGTGCTGGAATGGTCGAAAGTTTTATATTGTTCCACCAGTGGACTCTTGAAACAAATGTTGATTTTTACGTATAAAAAAATAACAGGAGAAACGCAAAAAATAAGGGATTTTTAGAGGGGTTTTTACGCATCTGGCGGCGACAGTTGAAAGTTAATGCCACGGTTCATTGTTAATGAGAATGGAGATTGTTCAAGGACCCTTAAATAGAATTCATTATTAATAGCCCACAAAAAAATAAATTACAGAAAAAATGTAACTAAAGAGGACTCGAAAAAGCACTTCATTGTTTCAGGCAAGTTTATTTATTCAGATTTATTTAATATGCCTTGAGTAAATAAATATTATACGATTATTCATGGGATAACACTGTATTTATTAATTTACCAATTTCAACAACTTTTTTCTGATTTGTTTCTAATGAATATAAAGCAATAATTGCCTATATTTAATATTTATTAAACTTCTTAATTACCTCAACTTAATTCATATTGAGCTTAATGAATTCCATATGCCAACACACATGTCTCATTTATATAAATGATTAATTGTTGAAATTACATTTTAAATAATCACTTTGCAATCCACTTGACGGAAATGAAATAAAATTTCGAATTACCATTATTTGATGGCATTAATATAATCAATTCAAGCCCTTTGACGTTAATGTGAAATCGAATTTCCGTGGAAATCGGTGGCCTTCTGTGGCTTTCTTCACATGAACTTCCTCGAGGGACGATGGATGGATGACCTTTGGGCTAACATTTAGCATTTTGCGGGGCCCATAGCTCAAGGGAAAGGAAAAGGGTTCACCGGAACCGACCATGAATTCCGCATAATTTCGCATTTTTCCCTCAAGTACGCCGGGAAACGTATCCCTTGGCCCTTTTTTAATGCGCTTCGCTTTTGCACTTTCGCCGGCTTGTTAAATATTAACGCAATTTCACTTCGCCCAATTACACTGCAACCCCATCCGGAGGCACATTTACATTCGCTTTCGCATTCGCATCAGCATCAGCATTCGACGACGATGCCTCTTATGAAACTTTAAATGGAAAGGGGGAATCCCCGCCACTTTGCTTAATTTGAGGTATGGTGGTGCAAGGTGGCGCATTTTATTTTCGCTGTCCAAGGATCCGAATCGATGGCTTTGCCACTCGTTAAATTCGACAAAGCATAAAATTTTATGCGAATTTTCATTTCTCTCTTAGCTGCGTAATTTTAGTAAGCCGTTTATTTATTTGGCGCACCTGGGAACAGTGACCGGCAAAGCCGGTGGAATAACCAGAGCGAGTTTTTGACTCACCACATCGTCTGCAGGATGTTCTGACCCCTCTTGTACTCAAAAAAAAAGGGAATTCGTAGACATCAACAGCGAGGGGCAAACAAATAAACGCCACTCCACGCAAATGCAAACAAAAACGCTGTTTATCCACGGACCAAAGTCGCCAAAGGATGCCTGTGTGCCCGAGGAAAGGTGAAAGGACGCTTAAGCACTTGAGCACCTTCGAACCAAGCAAATCGATGGGTAATTGCCATTCCTACGTGTATAGCCCTTGCCTTGCCGAATTTTAAAGAGTTATCGGTGGGGCTTTAAATCAAACTGGGGACTAGGAGGTATAAATAGCTACGTAAATTATTTCCAAGTGCTTTGTTGTTTGGCAGTGAAATATTAGAGTCCTTAATTTGTTCAAACTTATTTGTAATTGACTGTTGTCAATTCAATTAAGCTGGGAATTTAATAATATTTATAAGTATAATAATTGTTTTATAATTCAAAATAATTCATCGTGTAATTACAGTATTTATTCCAATTAAAATAATAAATAGAAACAAAGTTCAGTTTGGAAAGCCGAAGTATACCATTTCAGTTGGATTATTTTTACCGAACATGGCTCGATCGATTGGGCTGTTGACACTGATCAAGAATATATATGATTTATAGGGTCGGAAATGGCTACTTCGCAGAAAAACAAGCTTCTTCAACTGAATTTATAATAACCAGGAAGGGTGTAATAATGTAGCTAAAAAATTGACTCTACGTAAGGGTTAAAATTCAATTGCAATAAGGGAATTAATTGGCAAAATGTAGAACTTATTCAAGACCTAGTCCTTAATCATAATATAATATATACTTTATGATATACATAATTGTCATACTAAAGACTTACCGAAATAAGGTACACATGGTCATCATTTCTCAATTCCTTCCAGGGTTGAGTTGTATTCATGGTGACTTTAATCAGGCTAAGTATCTTCAAACTGAGCTTTTTCCTGTTTATCCAGTAATTTTCCATGGGTCAGGAAATATTTTTCAGGTCGTAGGACAATCACTATCACTGCCACTATCACTATAGATGTAAACACAGGGAAGGCCACGCACAGACTGAGGCCAGCGAGAGGGGAGTGCCTCTATTTATAGTCCCGAGCGAAGAGAACAACAGAGAAAGTAGGTGCGAGAGCCCCAGAGAGAAAGAGTTACCTTTAGAGATAGGCAAATCCATACAGAGGGAAAGAGTTACCTCTAGAGCGAGGCAAAGAGAGGTAGAGAGAAAGAGTTACATACCTCTAGAGCGAGGCATGAGCGATAGACATACTGTATATGCATTTATATTTATTTCTTATTTGTTTTTTAAATATTATTCACTCATTAAGCTTTCTAATATATTATTTATTTTAATTATTTTAGAAGGAAGTAAAAAACTAATTCCCGCTAAAAATTCAAAATATCCCATCTTTAGCTACCCGCAACTATCGCTCCCACGCACCCTGCTCATATCGATATATCGATATCTGCGATCAGCTGGGATCGGCCAGCGGCAACAGCTGATGTGGCTCTCCGGTTTCGCTGGTTTGTTGTTGGACTTTCTGTTTTGGACTTTGAAACTCTTGAAGTCGCGGTTTCTCAATTGTTTATAGCAATTGTTATTCAATTCAAAGACACCCAAGTGGCGCGAGATTATGTTCCGGACACGAGTGCACCGAAATCTGTCGTGGATCTCAACGAACTCCTCGCGAACGACGACTACACACGGCCAACACTATCAATACCTGCAATGTTCCAAGCTGCCGACGTTGTATTTCCAGCGCTCCCTGCCGCGTCTGCCCATACCGCTGTTGGAGAACTCCTGCCAGAGGTTTGTAGAGGCCACCAAGCCTCTCCTATCCAGCGCAGAGCAGGCGCAGACCCAGCGAACGGTGGAGGAGTTCAGGCAGGGAATCGGCATGGAGTTGCATGCGAAGCTCAAGCAACATGATGCGGAAAACAAGCATACGAGCTACATATCTCAACCCTGGTTCGACATGTACCTCGCCGACCGGGCGCCGCTTCCCCTGAACTATAATCCCCTCCTCGTGATGAAGAGCGACACGCGAAAGGAGTACCAGGACCAGGTCGTGAGGGCCACTAATCTAATCATCAGCTCCCTGCGCTTCTGGCGGTCCCTGCAATCGGATCTCCTGGAGCCGGAGGTCTATCACATGAATGCCAAAAAGAGCGACACCGCCAGCTACCGGCGTTGGATGAAGGTGGCTCCAAAGGCCTTCGCCACCTATGCTTCCTATGCCTTCAAGGCCTTCCCGCTGGACATGAGCCAGTACAACAGGCTCTTTGGCACTGCCCGTATCCCTCGGTTGGGCAAGGATGAGCTGGTTCAGTCGCCAGACTCTAAGCACGTAATGGTCATGCGACGCGGGAACATGTACGCCGTAAATGTCCTCGATTCGAGTGGCTACATCGAGAGTCCCAGCGTGATTCTAGGCAGACTAAGGGCTGTGATTCAACTGGATGCGGATCGTGAGGCTGCCAGTGTGCCTCTGGGGGTCCTAACTTCAGGACAACGCGATGACTGGGCAAAGTCAAGGGCGCACTTTGTGAGCAACCCAAAGAACGCCCAGCTTCTGCAGAGCGAGGTGGATGCGGCGTTGTTTTGTGTTTGTCTGGACGGCGAGGAGGATGGCGTTTTTAGGGAGGAAAACCAGGAACCGCTGCTCAAGCATTTGCTGGCGGGAAAGGCACAGAATCGGTGAGTTCGAAAACGTAATAATATTAATTCTCATTTAATTTTAAAGAGAAGTTATCCATAAAATGTATCTGTCTTGCATAACTTCATAATTAACTGAAATTAAGCCATCATTTTACCTTAGTTGAAATATATACAGTTATTGCTATAAATAGTAAAGTTAATGTACCATAAAGCCTAAAAATATTTCACATTTAATTGCCTAATAACATATTTTGGCGTAAATGCCACAATATGGTATCTAATAATGTGTCATATACTTTTTTATGCCATATAAATATAATTTCTATGACATTTAATTATCAATTAAATTTATATTTCCAGTTGGTTTGACAAATCCATTTCCCTGCTAATCAGCGCCGATGGCACCACAGCCATCAACTTCGAGCACTCTTGGGGCGATGGCGTGGCAGTTCTTCGTTACTTTAACGAACTTTATAAGGACACCTTGCAGCAGCCATTTGTGTCCACGGAGACGGTGCACACGCCCGCCGAAGGAGATGCCGTCAATGTGCGAGCCATTAACTTTGAAATCGACGACGCCACCAAGGCGGCCGTGACGGAGGCCTACGAAAAGAATGCTAAAATCGTAGACAGTCTAGACATGAATTTGCTCAAGTATCCGCATATTAACAAACCCATCTGCAAGCAGTACGGCCTCAGTCCCGACTCCATCATCCAGCTATCCTTCCAGCTGGCCTACAGACAAGCTTTCAACGGCTATGTGGGCACTTACGAGTCTTGCAGTACCTCTGCCTTCCGTCATGGACGAACGGAAACAATGCGTCCCTGTACGAATGCCACCCGTGAATTTTGCGAGGCTGTCTTAAAACCAGAGAGCAGCAAGCCGAGTGCCGGGGAGCTGCGGACGATGATCGACAAGTGCAGCAAGGTGCATGGCCAGCTCACCAAGGAGGCGGCCATGGGTCAAGGTTTTGATCGCCATCTCTTTGCACTGCGGCACACGGCTCAAAAGGAGGGCATACCCGTACCCGATCTCTACCAGACAGAGGCTTACCAGCGCATCAACAATAATATAATCAGTACCTCAACCCTTGGTTCGGATGCCCTGCTAGCTGGATCCTTTGGTCCGGTGGTCAGAAATGGCTTTGGCATTGGGTAAGCCATTTGTCTGGTTGACTGCGAACAATTGGTGACAGTTGATAAACGCATTTATCTTGCAGCTACTCGATTCAGAACGATTTTGCCGGCGCCATTGTCACCACGTACAAAAATCAGGCGGATGGGAAGGTGTTCATTGACAGCCTAGAGTCGGCATTTGATAAAATTTGTTCTGTCATCCAGCAGAGTGCCAACAAGAAATAGGAGGAGGCCCATCTATCTAGCAGAAAACCCCAAGGATTTCCAGCTCCGCCCCTTAAAACAAAACAAGGCTTTAACGTAACAGAGAGATTTATATTGTAAATTTTACTCTATGTATCCCATGTGTCTGAATTGCAATATCTTATTCCAAGCTCAACGATTTATAGATTAAACATTGAAAACATTCTATTCGATCTAAGGCAGATGGGTCACTTACTTTAATGGTGTTGCAGCTGGCTTGTACACTAGACTAACGGATAAGTAGAAATAATATTTTATATATTTTTCATTGTTTTGGATGTATAATCAAATGATTTTATTTATATTTTAATTTATAATCTGACATTCAGAGTTCTTTAAAAGAAAGTAAGTTTATTTTAAACTTATATTCTGCCAAGCAGTCTCTTTAGTAATTTAATTTTAAATCCACACGTTTCTTGAATCCCTCAAGGAATTCAAAGCACAAAAACTTTCCCATTTTCTTGTTTTCACAAGTAAAACTAACAAAGATGTCTTGAAATTGCATTCCAACCCTTTGAGTTACTCCAATTGTTTAAGTAAGTTCTCCTCTCTAGACATATGTAAACTTTGACCTTTCATTGTCACTTAACTTCAACAAGATGTGTGCCCACGCATTTGAGGCCCCTTTTTCCCTTTCCCCAAAACTTATATACCCCAAAATGGGAAATGGGGAAAACCCACGCATTAAGCAGTTGCTGATTAAAGGTTTTCCGCACGCTGACCCAGAAAACTTTTGCGCCCCCAAAAAAGCAAAACTACCAACCAACAACCCTTCGGGCCAAGTTTGTTGCCTTTTTTTGATTTGTACCCTCACGCAGACGTCAATCGCGAACTCCGGCGCGCCGTCTAAACATGGCAAAGTTTGTCACAATATGCTCTCGGCTAGGATATGGCCATGTCGCTAAATGTGCGCCGACATTATCAGTTGATTTATCGCCAAATTTAGTTGCCAACTGGCGTTGCGGCACGCTTGTTAAAACAAAACAACAAAAAAATAAACAATACATAAACCAAGTTGGCTATAAAAATTAATTAACTTGCTGCGGCGGAGAGGAGTCTACACTCCGGCAGATCACAGTTGATATTTATACGATATCCAGGCCTTAATGGGCGGCATTAAAAATTAAAAGGAGACATTCCTGCCATCGGCAGAGAGCTAAGAGGTCATTAAAGCCAAGTAGATGCTTCCACCCAGTGGCGGACAATTAAAAACATATTAAACTGACATGCCGGCAAGGATGTGGAAGAGGATGTCCACAAATGTGGAGTGTGTGGGTATGAGCGGTGAAGGGTTCAGTTCATGATAAATGTGCGGTCGCCAGGATTTAATATTGCGCATACGCTGCCGTCGCCGGGCAGCTCATTAAATTATTCAAAAATGAGACTCCACTGCCCGTGTCCGTCCATCTGGCTACATAGTTGTGGCATACCTCCCAGAAGCCTCGGTTGTTGGTCCATTGTTGTGCTGGAGACATGCGACATGTGGAAGTAATAAAAAAGTCCTGACGTGCATTGCCTGCAGATGAGCCAGCGAGACTTACTCCTCTTTGCCATTTAATTTTGTACTTTTTATTCCTAACTTGAACTCACTCTTCTTTCCTCTTACCAAATTGCGTAGCAGACAAAGGCCGACGGCGAGGGAAATCAATAATTATATCTCTAATTGAATATTAATATTTAATTTCGGGTCGGAGTTACCTCTGCTCTCCGCACTTTGCCTTTCGGAAACGCATCATTAGCCAGCGGTTGGCCATTAGGCCTGCGTGAAAATTTGGGGCATCTGTTGGCAAACTTTTTGCCCCGGCAGTTATCCTTTTCCGCCAACTGATTTATGGTCGAATTTTCACCCGGCCAGTTTTAGCACTTGTCTTCCGTTCATTTCGTTTTTGGGGCGGAGGGGGGCAGGCAATAATATTTGTTTGACCGCAAACCGCAAAGCTACACCCGGTGACCACACGGCGTATGCGTAATCTTGGCCAACCAACTGCGGGCTATGTTAATGCACTTTGTTGTTTCCTCTCAAAATCGAAAGCAAATACAAACACGAGCAACACTTCCGCAACACATCGAAGCTAATGAGCAATTAATATGGAAATCAGTTGGGTTCATTTCCATTACAAGGTGCCAGGCCAATTATGACACTGACCGCATTAATGGGCACAAGTTAAGGGGGAAGCCATGTGTGTGTGTGTGGGAAAATTACAATTCCAAAGGTGAAGACACACATGGCCTAGGAACAGGGATTTTCTGGGAATTTTTTTCTTAATTTGTGACTAATTATGGTGACACCTGTAGGCCCTAAAAGAGTTATTATTCTTTGCCATCTACAACTAAAGTATACTCACAATAAAGTTATTTACTTTGGTTTTATTATTTCTAAGAAAAATGTATTCACCTGACAATCTTAATCTGTCTTGAAATTATCTAAAAGTCTACTTAAGTCCTCAAATAAATAATTATAACTTTCCTTTCTTAAGACTTTCATAAAGCGGTCACCGCAAAAGTCATCGTCTTAAACACTTTTCAGTGTCAAAATGTCAGCTACCAAAAAGACAGCTTAAACGCAGGCACGTGTTTTTTTTTCGTCCTTGTCCTCGGGTAATTAACATAAAATTTATGAGCAATTCATGGAAAATGTCTGCACAGGTGGCTGGAAAAGTACTTGAAACTCAATTTAACGCAGCTCGTGCCTGTATTTAGCATTTAAGTTAATTGATATTGCCGCAGGACATTTGGTGAGACATGACTCCCAGCACTATAAATGCCAAATACACCAAGGCACCGAAATCATTTCTAATTGCTGGTAATTATTTATACATTTTAACAAATAGTCAACGGAAATGAAAGCCAACAGAAAATTAACAGCAAAACAAAATAAGAAAAGAAAGCAAAAACAATTTGTATATTGATTCACAGAAGAAAAATAGGCAAAGAAAACTATATTCGTTGGATTTATTTCATACAGAAAAAAAAGTCTGAAAGTCTGCCAAGTATATTTCTTGAGGATTGATTCAGTGTCTCATGGTTGGATGGCAGCCAGATTTTGCCGGGCGAAGAATTACGTTTGAATTTTTGAACGTAAGGTAAGCAGAAATCAGAAACATTTGTTTATAAACATAACATAGCCTGTGCTGACACATTAAGACGATGTACAATGCTAAAATACCGCGAATAATAGCAGGTAATTATTTAGAAAATTAACAAGTAGTCAATGAGTGTGCAAATGAAAATTAGCAAAGCAAATTTATAAACAAAGAAAATCGATCAATATTAATTGGGGGAAAATTTAGTTTTCAGTATTTTTGGGGAAGTTATTATTGGTTTTACAAGAGGTATAATTTTATGTTTATTATTAATGAATGAAGGAAGAAATTCTGATATTCTTTAATTATTTATATTATTTCTTTAATGGAGAAAAGTCTGCTAAGCTCATAAAAGATTACACAACATAAACAATAACTTAAATCAACAACAACTTTATAAATAAACTCTAAAATAAATACAAGTAAATTATATAAACACAATCTGAGAAAAATTGCAACATTTTCCAAGACTAGCAAACATTTAACTTGAGGTAGTCCAACAATACAGCAATTAAAAAAAGTAAACATCACAACTAGACATATGTGTATTGTACGTAAAATTTACAGCTAATTAATTAGTCTAGGAAGGAAATGAAAGATGAAAGAAAATGAGTGAGGGAGAAACTATTTTGAGTAAATAAAATTAGAGGAAATGAGCTAAGTGAGTATTTTTCAGCTTTCGGAGAGTAAAATATAATTGTAAGCACATTCAAATGAGTGAAAATAAATGGCAACTAAATAAAAACATAATAAATTCCTCAAAAACCTGAATATCAGATAAAAACACATTATTTTTCTAAATTTACAAGCACTCACTAAACAACTTGACTCAAGTCCAAGAGCAAACCCCATAGATAAACGAAAGTAAAACCAATTTTTGAGTAATTTATTTCTAAACATATCGAGAGAAGAAGAAAAAACTTGAGGTAGTCAGCAACATTGTTGATAAACATTGAGGCCTCTAGCAACTTGTGGCCAAGACACTTGTTGTGTGCGACTTAGAGCAACATGTTTAGCAACACGGTCAACGGGGCGTATGAGTAATTTTAATTAAGATGTCAGTCGCACAACGGTCTCGAGGCCTCGTGTCCTATCTTCCTGAAGCAACTGGAGCATAAGTTTTTGTGTGTGTGTGAATGCGAGTGTATATGGCTCATCCTGGACGATTAACCCTATGCATCCACCGGGCATCCAAGTCAATTAACTTGAGCCAGAGAAAGGCACTGTTTGGCCATTGTGTTGTGCAACTCTTGTGGCAAGTCAATTGTGCCCCGTCACACAAGTGGCATACGTGTTTACATTTCCACTTGCCCTACGCTTTTATTATCATCCTGGGGCCATCACTCAGAGGTCCTTGAACGCACAGAGGCGGAAGCCACGTTCTCCGAGGATGTTCCCCTTATTTTTACTCTAAGGTTAATTCAATTTACTGCCTCCTACGGTTGTTGATTGTCTTGACACACAGAGAGACACACGCACGAACAAGTCAATCGGAAATGCAATATACTCCAGCCACCAAAAAATCGTTGAAAAGTTTTGAATAATATTTTTTCCCTCCGCCGAAACAGTAGCGGATTTGGCGCCACAAAGTTTGGCAATTCACTGAGGCGAAAGTGCTCGGAGACGGGAGCTCCCAGCATGAATCTCCATGCTCCAGCCGGAAGGCTCTGGCTCATAGAGTATTCATGTAATTTTAGTTGCCATTTGTTTTTGTAAAAATGAATATCTTTTATTATGCGCGTACCCCGTAATGTTGGGTTTTCGCTTTTTTAACAAGGGTATACTTACTATGAAGTGTCTAAGGTGTCAAATTTCAACTTCAAAACCAACGAATTTGCTTTTTTTATTAAAAAAATCTTAAAATACTTAAAGAACTGTACCTCTTCAATATAATTTTAGTTTTTACACATCCTATTTATTTATAAAAACCAATCAAAACTCTGGCACAAGCCATACCTTCCAATAATATATAAAAATAATCAACTTTATGCTGTCCTTTAGGCCTATATTTTTTTGCAAAGTAATAAGAACTTTGTGCCCCCATCTACTGGCCATTCTTGAATTTCCTCTTCAGCTATATATAGT